GGGATGGAACCACGAGGCGACGTTCATTCACAAAACGCAAGTTTCTGGAGGGCACATAGATCTGCAGAAGCGAGAGCAGATAAGAAGGAGCAAGGCCAGAAGTCACTTTGTAGGCAAACATCAGAGCTTTGAATTTGATGCGAGCAGCAACTGGCAGCCAGTGCAAACGGACTAGCAGCAGAGTGACATGTGCTCGTTTAGGTTCATTGAAGACCACTCGTGCTGCTGCATTCTGGAGCAGTTGAAGAGGCTTGATAGAGTTAGCTGGAAGCCCAGCTAGTAGAGAGTTGCAGTAATCCAGTTTGGAGAGAACAAGAGCTTGAACAAGGAGTTGAGCTGCATGTTCAGATAAGAAGGGTCGGATCTTTCTGATGTTACAGAGTGCGAATCTGCACGATCGAGCAGTTCTAGAAATGTGGTCAAAGAAGTTTAGTTGGTCATCAATCGTTACTCCAAGGCTTTTTATTACCATTTTGGATGCAGTAATGGTTGCCCCATCCATCGGGATTGAAAAGTTATGGTGTAGAGTCGAGTTGGCAGAAACTACAAGCATTTCCGTTTTTGCGAGGTTCAGCCGAAGATGATGATCTTTCATCCAGTGTGAAATATCCAACAGGCAGGCTGAGATGCGAGCTGGAACCGAGGGATCATCAGGATGAAAAGAGAGGTATAGCTGGGTATCATCAGCATAGCAGTGGTAGGAGAATCCATGTCTCTGGATTACTGGTCCTAGAGATGATGTGTAGATGGAGAAGAGAAGTGGCCCAAGAACAGAGCCTTGAGGTACCCCAGTGTTTAGATGCTGTAGGTTGACACCTCTCCCCTCCAAGACACCCTGAATGACCTGTCAGTGAGGTAAGATCTGAACCATTGTATAACAGTGCCCGCAACGCCCAGTGACTCAAGCGTAGATAGCAGGATCTGGTGGTTGACAGTGTCAAAAGCAGCTGACAAGTCCAGCAAAATGAGGACTGATGATTTAGAGTCTGCTTTAGCCAGTCTGAGATCCTCCACGACAGAGAGCAGGGCAGTCTCAGTTGAGTGGCCTTTCTTAAAGCCGGATTGCTTGTTGTCCATGAGATTGTTTTGAGGAAGAAAGTCCAGGACTTGATTGAACACTACTTTCTCCAGAATCTTGGCCATGAATGGAATGCTACTTTGAATATTCGATCAGAAATAACATGCAAGTGTGACTTCAAAACAACATTAGCCCTATTTAATTTACTTTGAACAATGTTGTACTTTGATAGTCACTGGCTGATAATATAAAATCCATATTTAGTATTTGCAAAAATACTTTACTGATAATATAATATTAAGAAGAAAGTCTAAATGTGTGAATATTAAACCAAATTTACCTCAGTATTTAAACACATGGATTGAACATTAGAGAATTATAATTATTAAATTAAAATAATGATCTACAAATTAAACAGTTTTCCCACCTGAATGTTAACTATTTAACTAGAAAATTATTATTTATTCATTCATTCATTTCCTTGTCGGCTTAGTCCCTTTAGAAAATGATTATATATGTTGAAAATAAAAATTACACGTCAGTTAATGGTAAAAGCATGTGCTTGAATTCTTGCTAGGAATATCAATTCACAGCGAAAAAGCAAGCATGTCTGGGTTTGAAGTCATGAAGATGTCTTTTTTTAAAATTAACAAATACAGAATTATACAATATTATACACAAAAAATACATGCCAGAGTGTATATATACAACAACAAAAAAATCAGTAATTGAAAATCTTATATCCCTTAAAAATATTACAAGTCTTCTTTGCTTTGTTATTAACCATGTTTTCCAAACTTGTGCAGTAGTCCTTAGTCTCTTGAAGAAAATGAACAAAATTTGGCTTTGATCTAGTCCATTTTTTATGTATATGAAACTTTCCTAAAATAATAAAAAGTTGTACTAGAAAGGTCTTTTTTTTTTTACATGTATTAACATAATAAATGCAAATATCATTTTTTTTTTACTTAAATACAATATTTGTTTTCTTTCTTAGAAAATTTTCCACATCCACCCAGAAAATCCTTGTGTATATACAATCACAAAACATGCGGACAATAGATTCCTTTTCCATGCAACAAAAATCACAGGAATAATAAATATCCAAATTAAATCTCTCTAAAACCTCTTTAACTGGATATATACTATGTAAAATTTTAAATGTAACTTCTTTTACTTTGTTATTTATACAATATATTTAAAAAAAAAACGCCAAGCTTTTTTCCAATTTATATTTATGAATACATTGGTCCATTTTAAATTATTATATACAACTGTATCACCTGGTATAATATTTCTAATATATTTATTAGTATAACTTTGTTTAATAATATCAATATCTCCTAAAAAAAAGGTTTTCTTTAACATATTCTCCTTCAAAAGATTTATTTCCATACGCTCTTATAAAATGAAGAAGCTGTTGAGATATGGCATCAAATACAGTACTATACCCTTTGGAGTAACTGGAAAACCAAATTTATCTAAAAATTCACTGTAAGATAATAAATTACCGTTTAAATTAAGAAGTTGTCTAACTAATACAATATCATTTTCATACCATTTTGGGAAGAAGAGAGATTTATTTTTATATTGAATACATCTATTATTCTAGATAATATACTTGTTTGGGGGGGAAAATGTGTTTAAATACTAATATCCAGGCTAATAAAGCTTGTTTGTGAAATTAAGCTAATTTCACTGGAAGTTTGTCGATTTTAAAATCACAACTCAACAGAAATTCTATACCCCCAATCATGTCAAATATATGTTTTGGAAAAGTATACCACATACTTTCCTTTTCTTTCATGAATTTAATTAACCAATTAATTTTGAATGTATTGTTTAAAGTTTCAAAACTTAACACAGATAACTCACCATTGCATTTTTGTTGACACATAATTTTCTTTCTTAAATAGCGATGTCTATCTCTCCATAAAAAAAATTAAATAATATTTTGTCTAATTCTGTATTTGATGGCATCTCTAAAGCTAAAGACACATAGACAGATCTTGATATTCCTTCTGCTTTGGACAGTAAAAATCTACCATCAGGGATAAATCTCTTTGAAGCAAGATATTAAATCTAGTCTTAGTTTTATTTATTATGGGTTGAAAATTAAGCTTATTATGTTCATTTTCTTCTTTATGAATGACAACCCCTAAATATGTAACTGTATCTTTAAAAGAAATACTATGTAATTCTGTCGAATTGCATGATTTAATTGGAAATAACACAGATTTATTAATATTCATTTTAAGACCTAATGATACTAAGGAAAATTCTTTTACACAGTTAACTGCTTTTAATATTTCTAAATTATTTTAAGTAAAATAGTTGTATTATCTGCTAGTTGGGATAATTTAAATTCTTTTCCAAATACGCGTATACCTTCAAAATCTGCTTTTTTAATATATAGGGCCATAATTTGTGACTAATAAAAACAAAAATGGAGATAAAGGGCTACCCTGTTGTATACCTCGATTAATCTCAAGTCTACCACTTGTACCTGCAGATAATTTAACTGAGCTATTGCATCCATTGTAAATAGTTCTAACAACTGTTTTAAAGTACTCACCAAAACCAAAATGTTTAATGCATCTAAACAGAAACTCATGACTTACAGTATCAAATGCTTTATAAAAGTCTATAAATAAAATAAAAGAGTCATTTGGTATATAATAATTATAATCAATCATATCTAAAAGTAACCTAATATTATTACTGATATGTCTTCCAGTCATAAAGCCTGTTTGCTCTTCTTCAATAATCTCCCCCAGACCCTTTTTTAATCTTGCAAAAACAAGAGCAAAAAGTTTTGCATCATCGTTATTCAGAAGAGTAATCGGTCTCCAGTTATCAATATAAAGTTTATCCTTATTGGGTTTAGGGATTATTGTAATAAGACCTTGTTTAAGAGTTGTGGGTAGCTCCCCACAAGTAATAGATTCTTTAAACATTGCGACTAAAAAAGGAGATAACTGTGTTATAAACGTCTTGTAAAATTCACTAGTCAATCCATCGTTTCCTGGAGATTTATTATCCTTCAATCCCTTCAATTTATTTATCTCTTCTAGATTAATATCTTGGTCACAAAGTATTTAAAGTCTTCTTGTATAATACTTGTTGTATCAGATATTTTACTTAATAACAATTCAGCTTCTTTTTCATTGTAAGGGTCTGAAGTATATAGATTCTTATAAAACTGTGTGACATACTCAGCAATTTCTTTATTACTTTCACATATTCTGTTATTAATACTGAGTTTACACATAGATGACATTTCATTTTTACGTTTTTCTAAATTAAAAAAAAATATTTAGTATTTTTTTCTCCTTGTTTAATCCACTTTTGTCTACTTACAAAGGCACCTTTAGAAGTCTTGAAGATGTCATTAATTAACAAACAACGAACAATGACATAAAAACTCCACCCAAGTCTCAACCAATAGCAAACAATTAATCTGCATGCGGTGCAGCGCTGTGTTTAATGCAGGATTTCTGCTAAACGTGTATTTCCCTGCAGTTCATACTTTACGGGGGACTAATACATCATAAGGAGATGATGATAAGATGATGATATGCTGCCAAATATAGTTTTAGAAATATCCCCTCACCACAGATGTAAAGCACATCACTGCCACGACCTGTATATAAGGGTGGTTTCCGCTGCTTCGAATGCCCGGATGAACCTCGGTGGTCCGGGGTGCAGGCTTCAAACCTGTAGCTGCCTAGCGGCAGAGTGGTTCAATTCCACCTTTCGGGCGACCTTGAGTCTCATCACTACAAAAATATTTAAGAAATTACACAAAACAGACGATACTGAAAATAATAAACGTTACTTATAAAATACTTTGCGTCATGTGCCGCTTTATAATTTTCATAAACCCGGAAGCGCAGCCACGCGAACAACCCAATCAGCGCATTAAACACTCAACTGGACCAATCACAGCGCTCACTGAAGTGTCTGTCATAGGAAATGACGTACAGTGCCCTTGGTTAGCTTCATGCATGCTGGATTGAGAGGCTAGCAGGCTAACATTTATCATGTAAAACAATTTATAACATTTCCCGATCGCGTCAATCCCCGGTAAGAGTGCTGAATTGTTTGCTAATATTAGTATATCGATATTATAGTTGTAGGATCAGATGATTTCATGTGACATAAAGAGTAGAGCTGCTGAAGATTCAGCTTTAAACCACCGGATAAAATGACAATATGCTGAGTAAAACATGGTGGTTTATAGGTGGTTTTAAGTATATAAAGCAAAGTATAATTATTTAATCTTATTTAATTATTTGTTTCATGGAAATGTGATCTTTAAATGGTCGCTTTTAATATGTCAGAAACTATTAGGTGCGTTCGACATGAAGCTCAGCTGCAGCCGGTGATCAACGAGATTAGCCGAGCGCAGGCGGGGCGGAGTTGAAAACGGAGCCGTCAAGACGGACAGCTGGACACTTCGGGACTCAAAGTTGCTGCAGTCATGATGACCGATCACATGGCGTCATCATATTTTTTGTTATTTTTATTTATAACAACAAAACATTTACAAATAAAACAGAATACAGGCTCTTCAAACTGTAGTTCCTTTTTAACCAATAAGAGAGAATTATGAATAAAATATATAACAAATGCATGAGAGAAATAAGAGGAAATGAGAGGTTAATATAAACATAAAAACGAACAGGTCTATTAAATACAAAGCAATAAGCATAAATTCTAGGAGTTAAACATCAATCTTTAGGCTAATACTTCTTGTTTGAATCTGCTTAAAAAGGGTTTACATATATGTACATTTATAGATATAAAAATTTCCCATGTAAAAAGCAAAACAAGGTGTTTTGATTAGGTCTTAATAAATGACATTATTTTGGATGATGAATGAATTTTCAAAAAAGCATTTTAATCCAAAAAGATTGTGTTGAAAAGAACAAAAGGTAAAATAAGTGAGCTATGTATAAGTTTCCCAGAAAGAGCAGGTAGCCTTTAAACTGCTAGATAGAAAATAAAATATATATTTATATTATAATAAAGCCATTTTATAATTATTTAATAAAATAGTTCTTTACTTTAATTTGTTAAGAGAGCTTTAGGGTGGCAGGATCAATGATGATGATTTTCTTATTTCAAGTCTGTAAGACTTATTTGAGTTCATATTTAGGTTATTCACTAAAATATACACTAAAATATATCATTTAAATCGTTCATGGAGATGAATGCAGTAAATAGTCTGTATAAAAAAGTTAAAAAATAAACCTGTGCAAACAAGCTAACCTTTATAACCAGATTATTTAACAAAAGATGATACTGCAGTAAAATATTTGTAGTCTTTTAATAAGCAAGATGTGTACAGAATAGAGAGGGTGTGAAAAGTGAATTGTTTGTTTTGAAACTTTTGAATCGGAATTTGTCCAATTATAAACCCGAAATACACGTGTTTGTTGTCATGTGGTGAACTCGGCCAATCGTGTAATATCGGTGTCGTCATCAAAGCTCCTGCAGTCGCTCTTCAGAAGCTGCACGGTCTGAGTTTGCCGTCTGATCTCGGAGCGCTGTCGCGGTACTTTGATGCCACATGTGACAGTCACGTGGCGTCGGCGCAGCATCAATCCGGACAAGATTTCTAACCAGAATGCACCGCTTTGAGACAGATTTCGATCGATCTGCGCAGCGCTGCATGAAGTCGAACGCACCTATTGTTTCGCATTTTATTGCAAATAAAATGTCAATATAAAGAAGCTATTCTATCAATATTTTAATGACATTTTAGTGTGTAAAACTTATCTAATTTCTAATAAGTTTTACTGAAGACAGATTCAGAAAGAAAATGTATCTGATTTACATGTTTTGTCCACATATAACATTCATTCATTCATTCATTTTTTTTTTCTTCGGCATAGTCCATTTAATTATCTGGGGTCACCATAGTGGAATGAACCGTCAACTTATCCAGCATATATTTTAATGTTTTAATATGTTCCAGCTGCAACCCATCACTGGGAAACACCCAAACACTCTCATTCACACCCATACACTACAGACAATTTAGCTTACCCATTTCACCTATAACATGTCTTTGGACTTTTGGGGAAAACCGGAGCACCCGGAGGAAACCCTTGTGAACACTGGGAGAACATGCAAACTCCACATAGAAATGCCAACTGGCCCAGCCGAGGAACCTTCTTACTGTAAGGCGATCATGCTACTCAATGAGCCACTGTGACACCCCTCATATATAACATAGGCAAAAAAAAAAGGAAAACCAATATGAAAAGTCTGTATCTTAGAACAAAAAATGTGTTTAAATAGATCCGTATCTGATCAATTACATTTGTAATGAGGTGAAATATTTTGGAAGATTCTATGTATTTTCTTTCTTTGAATAATGTACCCTATGAATTATTTTCAACTGAAAAATTCAATTTCTAGAATAGGGCTGGGCGATTAATCAAAAAGTAATTGAAATCGACATTCAGAACCTGTAATCGATCACATTTTTCCAGGTCAATTTTTTCTATTACTTTCCCTGTCGGGGAAAGTCATGTGACCCCTTGTCTCCACAAGTCATGTGACCCCGCTCTGTTAAGGCTAATTCATACTTCTGCGTCCACTTTACAGCCACATCTATTCTCTGGTCAAGTAGGACGATAAACTCATTCTTGAGCCATACTTTGCTCTACATTGATGATGATTGAAAGCTGTGTCAGAGATGCCTTGAGATGGCATATTCTCCATTACATTAAAGTTATTATTTACATTTTAATAAATGTTTACAGAAGATGCAAGACATGCACTGCTTAACATTTTATTTACTAGATATACAAGAGTTATTTTATTTAGAAGATATTCTGCTTATTTTCAACTTTTGATATGAAACGCTCCGAAAAAAAAAAAAATTTTGTTTCTAAAAGTGCAAGTTATTTATTTTCACTTTTTAAAGGAAAAGTTTGTTTTAGCCGATGTGTGCTTCAATTTCAGTTGTTCAACATTGATGTTCATTAAATAATCATAGATAGTAGATAGTGCGTGCTTCCTTCAGTTATTTTAAAATCAAGTAAACTACCTTTCATTCAAGAATCTCTCACCTATAATATGTGAGCATATTTATTGTACAAAACCTGTCAAAAAATAGTAAAAAAATAAATCATATTAAAAAAAATAATCCTTTATTAATCGTAATCGAGTTTTTGAATTTACACCAAATTGCCCAGCCCTAGTCTAGAATTAATAGTGATTATTAATATCCTCCAAACCTGATTGCCACATAATTAATATTTTTATAGTCACACAATTTCGCTCAGAAAAAAAAAGAAAAATTAGAGCTGTTTTATTTTAATTCTTTAATAAAAACCCATTTCCATCATTAACCCAGAGTTAATTCATTATTATTTTCTATATCTAATCAGTGTACATATTCAACTCTTCTTTCTAAGGGTTTGTCTCACACGATGCCTCTACACAAGTATCCCCCAAAGATCTGGGAAGCCCTGAAGCTGCAGAAAGGCATCTACGCGCGTCTGCCGCAGCATTACCTGCGCTCTCTGCAGGACACCTCTCCTCCCACCACTGTGCACTGGAAACCCCTGGGTGTCAAATACAGGATCAATCCTGATACGAGACAACGAGAGAGAGTCCAGGATGTGCCAATCCCCGTTTACTATCCTCCAGAGTCACAGGATGGACTCTGGGGTGGAGAAGGCTGGATATCTGGCTTCAGATATGCCAAAGACGACAAGGTAAAATAAAGGAGATGCCAATAGTGCAACTTATTTTGGTAATAATTATTTAAAATCAATTTTGAGCAAATGCATAACCAGCAAGCAATGTCAAAAAGCTTTCCTTAGCCTGATTAATAAACTGCTTGTAATTATGTTTTCTAATTTTTACTGGAAATTTTGTGTCAAAATGTCATATCTGTATACATTAAAAGAATAGTTTACCTCAAAAAACTTTTTGTACTTTTTCTAGATTTTAGTTTGCTATTTAGCACATTCCAATTTAAGAATTTATTTAGAAAACTGATAAAATTGAAAATCCTTTTTATATCAAATTTTAACAATAGTACACAACAAGTGAGGGCCAAATGCGAAAATGACTGATATGGAAGTACTACAGTGCTGTAAGCTCAGCGGACCTATTCTGTTCATGCTATGCACAAAAGAATGTGTTTAGGCCAAGATAAAAAATATGTATAAACAGTTAGGTCCATAAATATTTGTACACCTGACACAATTCTAACAATTTTGAGTCTATACTCCGACACAATGGATTTGAAATGAAACAAACAAGATGTGCTTTATCGGTAGACTGTCAGCTTCAATTTGAGGGTATTTACATCCAGTGTAGGAATTACAACAGTTTGCATATGTGCCTCCCACTTGTTAAGGGACCAAAAGTAATTGGACAGAATAATAATCATAAATTAAACTTTCATTTTTTAATACCTGGCTGCAAATCCCTTGCAGTCAATTACAATCTGAAGTATGGAACGTATAGACATCGCCAGATGCTGGGATTCATTTTTGGTGGTGCTCTGCCAGGCCTCTACAGCAACTGTCTTCAGTTCCTGCTTGTTCTTGGGGCATTTTACCTTCAGTTTTGTCTTTAGCCATTGCATAATATAGTTATAGCCAAAGCATTTGGCTTAATATGAGCATTAATATTGTGTTGGAATTATATTAACAAGGTAGAATTATATCACAAAGCATTGTTATCTTGTAGTTACCTAGCTGGGGACTAATTTCAGGCACTGTTTAATATCATATAGCCCATAACTGCAATTGCAGGTTTTAAACAGAGATGGTGACAAAGATTCAAAAGTGAGAGATTGCAGCTTTAAATCAGAAAGTTATTTTAGGATGGCTTATCTAAGAGATTCTCATGTGAATATGAATTATTATTAATATTATTGCAGCTTTCCACAAGACTGCCCAAAACCTGGAAGCCCCAGCTGTTTACAAGAGAGCTGTACAGCGAGATCCTCGACCAGAAGTTCAGTGTGACAGTCACTTCTCGAACACTGGACCTTATCGATGCCGCTTTTGGCTTCGACTTCTACATTCTGAAGGTGAGAATCTATAAGTCTCATTTAGCCTGTTTCAATATTTGACCAAAATTATAATAGTTCTACATAATAATATACGTGTATGGTATATAGTTTATTATTTTAATTATGGCATATTGCATTATATTATGATGATAATAAAAAACAAGTTGTGCATAATAATGTATGTTTATATAGAAATAGTATAAAGTGTTGTTATAAATTATTGCATATAATATTAAAACCGTATTTTAAAAAGGACTTTAAAGGTTTCACAGTGTTTGTGGCATTAATTGTGTATTATTATGCAAAAATTGCAGTTACTGTTTGTGCAGTAGCATAAGTAAATGGACAATAATGATAGAAGAAATGTTCATTATTATCAAAAACATGACTAAAATCCGCACATCTTTGGCAGATAGAACGTTTCATTATGTAATTGCAAAAATAAATTAATTATAGAAATTAACACTTCTGTATAATAATATTTGTGAAAGTATTGTAAAATTGTTTTTTCAATATTATATAAAACATATAATAATATATAAATTTATATATGAAAATTCATAATTATATATGAATAATATATGTTCATGGCATAAAGTTTTGTGTATATGGTATATTTCCCTGTATTATTTGTCATATATGACATTTGGTATGTTGTATTATTTTATGACAATCATACAACTTTTAAGATTATAATAATATGTTTATATAACAATATTCACTATATATATGGTAATATTAAATAATGCATATTATATTAAAACATCTAATAAAAGGTCAATAAAAAGAGCTCCAAATGTTTCTGGCATTTATTATGTATTATTATTTTTAATTATTAAGATAAAATAGCTATACATTATTTTACTAGTATGTTGCAAAATATCTGCAGTAAGTCTGGCATGTAGTATGCTTTGTGGAATTACTACACTCACCGGCCAATTTATTAGGCAACTGCTCGTTAACACAAATTTCTAATCAGCCAATCACATGGCAGCAACTCAGTGCATTTAAGCATGTAGACATAGTCAAGAGGATCTGCAGTTTAAACCGAGCATCAGAATGGGGACTAAAGGTTAAGTGACTTTAAACGTGGCATGTTTGTTGGTGCCAGATGGGCTGGTCAGAGTATTTCAGAAACTGCTGATCTACTGAGATTTTCAATGATATTGTAATGAAAGTGTTAAGCAGTAATATATATATATTATACATTTATTTAATTCTTTTTTAGTATGTTATAATTACGGGCTAAATACAAGCAGAACAAATCATGCGTTCAAAAACATTCATGTGTTCAATTCAGTTTAATAAACTATCAATTTACATAATAATCCTCTTATGTTACTTTTTTGTTGTTGAAGAAGTTTATAGGTATATTTGATCTATATTTTGTGTGGATCTGTTTTTAACCAGACCCCAAAACAAGATTTGAACTCCAAATTCGGTATGAATCTAAAACGAGCGATGCTTCTACGGCTGGCACGCAAAGACACAGACCTGTACCCCGAGGATCAACAGCGCAGAGAGAAAATCTACAAGCGCTACAAGGTGAGTTGATTTAGTGCTAATATAAATGAACAACCCAACCGTGCTAGTAATCAACCTGTGTGTGTTATCTTCCACTTGCCTTTGTCTGGATTCCTGCGAGCAGCAGTTTGAGGTGCCAGAGGAGGAGGCTGAATGGGTGGGCTTGAGTCTGGAGGAGGCAGTCGAGAAACAGAGACTACTGGAGAAAAAGGTAATACAAATGATTGTGAGGGATAGTCAGTGGTAGAGAAATTTCATATAGTCATTATACAGAGCCTGACAAAGGTCTTGTCATGGATCCAAGTTGCAAGAGCAGTAAATAATAACTTGACTCCTAGTTGGTCATTTGGAAAAGTGGCAGAAGGTAGATTTTTCAGATGAATCATCTGTCGAGCTGCATCCCAATCATTACAGATACTGCAGAAGTACGCGCATTGACCCAAAATTCTCACAGAAATCAGTCAAGTTTGGTGAATTAGAAATTACATTTAGTATGGGGGTATGCAAGAGATCTGCAGAGCCAATGGCAACATCAACAGCCTGAGGTATCAAGACATTTGTGCTGCCCATTACATTACATTATAAAACAACGGAAGAGGGCAAATTCTTTAGCAGGATAGCGCTCCTTCTCATACTTCAGCCTCCACATCAAAGTTCCTGAAAGCAAAGAAGGTCAAGGTGCTCCAGGATTGGCCAGCCAAGTCACCAGTTATGAACATTATTGAGCATGTCTGGGGTAAGATGAATGAAGAGGCCCTGAAGATGAATCCAAGAAATCTTTCCACTGCACCATGACTTTATATTCTATTCTGGACATTATTTCTGTTAAGTGACAAGACTTTTGTTTAAGCAAAGTCAGACCTCACTTTGCTAATTAAATAATAAAAAATCAAGGCATGATCATATTTTATTTTGGTAAAATAAGCGCAATCTAGAGGTCTTTGCCTTTCATATAAGCCACTTCTGATACCAAATGATCAAATAGAAGTCAAATTATTATTTGTTGTTCCTAAAGCTTTTCAGAATTATCAAAATAACAATGATTTTGTTTTTCTAAACAAATTCAAAATTACCTAAACACATCCAAAAAGCATCCAATAACTAGGTCCTATGTCTGGGTGCATGCTCTCAAATAACTGAAGTTTCTAATAACTGCAGGTTTCATCAAGTAAAATTCAAGACTTTTTTTATTTACATTTTTAACTATTAAGAATGAAATTTTTGACTTATACAGGTTTTGTTCTAATGTATTATCATAAGGGAATCTTATAATTATTTTTAGTTGTCTCTCCCTGAATTTTTTTGGGGAATCTTCTGTAAAAATGTCTTACAGTTATTGTGAATTGGCTCTTTGCAAAAAAAAAAAAACTTAAATATAAAAAATATGGTTTTATTGAGATGTATTGATGGTGATTGATCAATAAGATGGAAAAATTAAGACCTGTTAAAAAATTATTTAAAATCTAGAACAATATTTCAGTGAATAGATTTTTTTAAATATATATTTTTAAGGTTTTTCACATTTTATTGAGGTAGGAGGGTGTAGGACAGACAGGAATAGCATTGGGAGCAGAGAGAGGGCAAGGGACGGCATAGGACCTTGAGCCAGGAATCGAACTCAGGTTGCCGTGAGCACCTTGGTGCTGCTATATGTCAGCGCACTTAACCACTAGGCTATTGGCGATAAATTTAAGTCTTTTTAAGGCCCGAAATTTAGTTTTTGAAACTTAAGACATTTTAAGACCCAGCGGACACCCTGAATGAGCAGATGTTGTGGTCAATTATAGTTTCAGTCAGCGATGAAACACAAAGCAGCAACAGATGACTTTAATGTCAACAAGGGAAAAAAGGTGATGTGAGTTGGTTGATCCATATATTAAATCAGGTCAGAATTATTGTATATTCTCTCATACAGTTTTTGTCACCTCCTGATGTTACTCTTAACTTTTTCCAATATATGCTGTACAGAGAATTAGCACCAGGAATAGCCTGTTTTGCTGCTTCATCTAGGCAACAAAACAGGCTATCTTCTTGAAAGTGAAAGAATGTTTAATTCCTCCTGAAGACTTGAAACCCACAATGAATTTGTACATTAATAAAACATGGCAATGTGAATGGGACAACTGCATGAATAATAAATTACATAAAATTAACCCGAAAGTTAATGAAAGAAACTTAGCAAATTATAATTTTGAGACCAGGCATGTTCAGACTGTCTATACTAGATGTCGAATTTCACATTCTAGGTTGACTCATTTGTATTTACTCAACAACGAAGACCCACCTAAATGTAATTACTGCCAGGCTGCTTCTACTATCAAACATATTTTGTTGGAATGTGAAAGTTTAAATACAATTAGACAAAATTTTTATAAGGAGAGTACTTTGATGGACAATTTTAAAAGGATAAAAAGGAAGAATCTTAAATTATTTATCAAAAATTGAACTGAAAAATCATATTTAACTTTAAATATATTTTTGTGTGGATTTCATTTATTTATATTTGATATTTATCTAAGTAACTTTTTATTGTAATACAAATTTCTTTTTATCATGTAATATTTTTATGTATATCCTTTTTCCCATGAAGTAGCCATAAGTTGCTGATGTGGCAGTAAATAAATAATAAATAAATTATATAATTTGCAATTGATAGCTGCAATTGATATTACAACATAGTGATTCAGCACACACAGTTAGTGTTAGGTTCGTTTGAATTAAGTTTGTTTAATAGTTTTTTTTTTCTAGATTTTCTTTTATTATGTGCCTCAAGTATATGTGTAGATGCAGGAAATGAGATTTAAATCGAATTATAATCCCACATTTTGTTACACCCTTGCTTATTCCACCAAGTTTTGTATCCGAAAATAAACAAACAAATAAAAATTGCAGCTTTTTTTGTGACAAACAACAAAATCTGCATTTGGATTTATTTACTTATGTTTATTCTGTGTTTTATGTTGTTATTTTATGTACATAGCTTTTTTTTATTGTTTGTTTGCGCGTGCGTGCATGCGTGTGTGTGTTTATGGGTACAGTATTTCATGGTATTGTTTGTTAAACCTGCACTTAGAAAACTTCACAGAAATCCATGTTTATGTTGTTTATCACAAAGCAAAAAGTTGCTTTATAAAAGCCAAAATAACTTTCGTGATTTGCGGAAAAAATCTAATTGCAATTTTTTTGACTGATACAGCAAGAAAAAAAGTATTGAACCATTTCACTTAGATAATGTATTTCTAAAGGTGTTGTCATCTGATAAATCTTACTGTTATTCGTCTCTGTCAGGATCCAGAGCCGCTCTACAAGGGTCTGGTGAAGAGTCTCGTGCAGGAGCTCGCCCTTAAGAAGCTCTCAGAGCCACAGATTGTGGAGAAGAAATGAAACCATCTTCCCTGTTTGAAAGAGAAACGTGTATTTATTTGTGTTATCATCACCAGAAGCTGTGTGCTTGTGTTCTGTAAATATATCATTTTTACTTAATAAACCGATTAAAAGATGTGTTCGCCTGTCTGATTAGAAAAACTTATTTCTTCAACTAATGTTGTCACCGTAAGTTTTAAGAATGTTCATGCAAAAATTCTATGAGTTTATACATAACATACTGTTTTTATAATTCAGTTATAAGGGGACCAAATTTTTGACAAGAATTTTTTTACCTTTACAGATTAAATCACATTTAATTATCTATAATTAGCTATTAATTCATTAAAATGAGCAAACCATTTTTTGCATGTTGTTGTGGGATATATTTATAATTATTTATGATAAAAACTAGTGCTGCACAATATATCGTTTCAGCATCGATATTGCAATGTGTGTATCCGCAATAGTCACATTGCAAAGATGTGCAATGTTGAGTCGACTTTGCAGTGTCATTTTTACATTTACATATAAAAAACCATAATGCATTCACTGTTTATTTCACTTGTATCTTTGCTTTTTTGCATTTATCTATGCTTGTAGTTTGTTTATTACATGTTATGCAGGATTCACTCCCCGACAGAATCATCCCAGTCAATAAAAATAAATATTAGGCAACACTTTAGGGACCAATTCTCACTATTAACTAGTTGCTTATTAGCATTCACATTGACTGCTTATTAGTACTGATCGTATTCTACATCCCTGATCCTACCCAATAATCAAACTACCTTAATAACTATTAAAAATATTAGAAGGATGCTAAGGACCATTAAAACGCTAAGAGCAAGAACTGAACCTTAAAAAAAGTGAGACCAAGAATTCTTCCCAACTATAACAACTGTATCGCAATACATATCGCAGAAAAACAAAATATCGCAATGTCAGATTTTTACAAAATCATGCAGCCCTAATAAAAACTGACCCCAGCAGATTTTAACTCAATTACACACACGCACACCACTTGAAATAGTAAAACAGTAACTACATAAAACAGCAAACGAATACAGACAGTAGGTTTTTATGACAACATTTCAGCTTTACAAATCCACATTACAAAATAAAACAAATCTAGAATGTGTAAGAAATTATTTTATTAAGTATTTAGTGAATATATAAGTATTGTTTTTATATTTTAGCAAATTCTTATCAAATAACTTCATATGTATGTCTGCTTTTTTGGAAAGGGGTGTTTACTATTTCTAAATAGTAGGAATGGGCCGATAACCGTGTTCAAGGTTTTTTGAGCACAATGGTCCGTGTACGTTTTGTTCATTTGTTTTCCATTTTCAAACGGAATAAAATGTAGCTTGTTAAAAACGTATTCAAACTTATATTCACGCATTTAATTTTTGTGTTGTTGTAGTTACTGTGTTATAACAAAGATTTATGAACATTCAAAACTCTATTCCACTCTCAATTCGAGTCTAATTAAAATGTACATATAAATAGTGTTACCTTAACGAGAATAACTAGTATTTGACTACCTTAAACCTAAAACTGCGTCTCTCTTGTTGATAACAGGTTTGCCGTCGAACAGCTTCAGTTCTAGAATCCGCCGCGTGCAATCCAGTAATCAGCGCGGCTCACAGCGCCCTCTGTTGGTGAATATAATAACCACCAATGCTGTTAGTAACCGAGTAACCCTCACCCTTCTCCCAGTGTATTTGTCAGCTGGTGTGAACATGATATAAAAACAGACACATTTTCAGTGACAAGACACCAAAAACCGAAACATCTTTCGTCGTCTGTTAAAGCTCATTCATGCTTTGTAATGTTTTTGCTTAAAAGTCATCATGTACGGATATTTTTACAGTCTATGGTTCTGACACGATTAGAAGCAACATGATATGTATATTGTTATATGTACAATATTGATAATTATACTACATAGCATTTTTTTAAAAAAGGGAACTGTTGTAAAGCTAATTCATACATTCACTTAACCAACTCTTTCAATGACGGCAAAAGAAACAAAAGGAAGCTTTGTTTGCTGTGTTACCAAGAATTAAAGTTTAATAAAATATTGACTTCATCTGGACCTGTTTTCTCAATTGGATTCAAGTCAGGTGATTGGCTGGGCCATTCTACAGCTTGACTTTCTTTTTCTGAAAGCAATTGACAGTTTCCTTGGTTGTGTTTTGGATCATTGTCTTGCTGAAATGTCCACTCTGGTTTCATCTTCATCATCTGGTAATGTAGATGTTGGACTGAAGCAGCTAATATTATTTTATATGACAAAGGGCAGAAGGTTGCTGAGGAACTACTGAAAAATTTTCAGCTACTGTCTGAGCTTTCGCTGTTATTTACTATTATTATACTACTATTATTTAATATTATTATTTCATATTAATTCTTGTACAATAGTATATCATATAAAATGAATATTCTCAAAATATTACTTTTTCGGTACGCAATACAGTGCAAAATACACTATGCTGAACACAGATTTTTTATTCTTAATATTATATACTACATATTATATAAAATAAAATTCATGTTACTAAAATTAGAGGCTACAGGAACTATTGTTATTTATTTGAGTACATACGCTATCTGAAACCCTTGTGGTATTGCGTAATACTGGACCTTCTGCCAGGATAGTCAATGTTAAACCCTGTTAGTCTGAAATTGCAATATATTCAAATCAACAGAGAGACAGAGAAGAGAATCTCTTTACATTAATAGTGTTAAAAAGTCATGATGAGTAATGTGAATGGAAAATCACTTCTCACGATAGTCACAAGAAAAGTCATACGCTCTGACATTAGGTCATAATGAAAGCTTTTAAAAACAGAAAACCTACAGCATCATCTATAAATAAAGTCCACTGAAAGACTTGGGGGCGAAATAGTGACGTGTTGAGTGTGTGGTTATAGATCTGAAAGCTTTATAAAGTATCAGAGAAGCACAGCAATAGTGAACGAGGAAGTGACTGCAATTCTTTTTATCTGATTGCCATAGTCAAATGCATGAAATCAAAGGTCTGATTTATTTTCAGTTAGAAGGACATTTTAGTCTAACCAAATTTAAGAGGATGGATTGTTGTGTTTGCACTGAAGTGTTTCATCCAAATGAGATCAATTGCCAATGTTTTGTTTGTAATGAGGTACATTTGTTTGGAGTTTAGAAACTTGAGACAGAAAGAAGTGACAGTTTATTCTAGTGCTAATAGCAAGTACACAGAGGAACAGTCAAATTATTTTTCCAAACACAATTATAATACAATAACACACTGAGAAGCAAAGCGACAATTTTTGCAAGCAAATGAAGACATTTTACACAGCACATCTACAGTGCGGGATATAAGTATTCAACATCTAATTATTTTCTCAGAAAACATATTTCTAAAGGTGCCGTTGACTTGAATTTTTTTCCAGATGTCAGTAACAATCAAAGAAATCCATCTATGCAAAGAAAACTATTTTTTATTAATTTACAAATTATATATGTGTAATAAAATGAAATGACACAGGAAAAAAGTATTGAACACATGAAGAGAGTGAAAGCCCAGACAGCAGCTGAAATCTCTTCAGTTCTTCAATCGCTCTGCTCTATCTCATTGTAATTTAATATCAGCTGCTTCAGTCCAACATCTACATTACCAAGATGAAACCAGAGTGGACACTTCAGCACGACAATGGTCCAAAACACAGCCAAGGAAACTCTCAAATGCTTTCAGAAAAAGAAAATCAAGCTGTAGAATGGCCCAGCCAATCACCTGACTTGAATCCAATTAAAAATAGCAATTAAAGATCAGATCAGATAGACGAGACCTACAGAACCATCAAGATTTTTACACTCTGTTGAAGTCTGTGAAAAAAGCACACCGAGCAATGCATGTGACTTCATTCTCCATATGAGTGATGTCTAAAAGCTGCCATTACCAAAAAAGCTTTTAATATAAAGTATTAAATAAATTTCAGTAGATCAATATTGTGTGTCATTTCATTGCAATTAAACATATTTTTTTCAGATTGTTTTGTTACATTGTTATGTTTGTATTGTTTGGGTTTTTACCAAAATCTGGTTTAATTCTGTCAACAGCTCCTTTAGAATACTTTCCCAGGAAAATACATGACATGCTCAAAACTTATTTCCCCCCACTGTATATGTGAAAATAAACAAAATGCTTTCCATTGTTTAAGATTGTATATACAGCTTCCTTCAACTTCTACTTAGTTACTACACAGACCAAAGTATCCAAATGTTTGTGTCACTTTACTACATTCAGTTCAGTTTTACTAAAACATGACCAGGGTTTAGATTGAAGTAGTAATGTGGCGATTCCCAATGAAACTAAAACGCTCCCTAAGCCACCGACTTGACCAAAGTACCATACTGTGTCAGGAACCAGAGCACGTGACCTCCACTGCCTTTAGATGCTGAGAGAATGTTTTATAGCAATTGTTTATGGTTCATTTAATCTGTCATTTATATGATGTATTTTGAATAACATATGACATTTACATGACACTGAACAAAACAAACTGTGATTGGTAGATTTAGATGTCAGTCAGGTTCTACATGTAAACCCAAAGCCTATGCAAAAGTGCTCACTGGAAAACCAGATATCATGATAATGCACTACATTTCCAGATAGGAAACGGCCACTGGCAGGTTTATTGTGTTTGTCTTTATCATAGTTCACCAAAAACTACAAATTTCCTCATTATTTACTCACCCTTAAGGGGGGTTCACTTCGGTTTCTCTATTCTGTTGAACACAAAATAATATAAGCAGCTTAAAACCTGTGACTTTCATAGTAAGAAAAGCAAATATCTTCTTTTGTGTTGGACGAGTGTGAAAGATTAAAGAGTAAATGATGACAGGAATTTCAGTTTTGGGTGAACTATCTCTTTAAATGTCGTATTTTTCCTCTTTAATGCTGTTAATTGAAATTTCTCAGCTCTTCAGAAATGTTATATCACGATTCAAGTAACACACGTTAGTGAATTTGGATTGGGGACAAGCACAATACTACAAACCTAAGCTCAGAAACACACACAATAAATTAGCAACAACCAAATAAAATTCACAACTGGCACATTACAAGCAGATAAGCAGTATCTGT